TAAATACAAACACCGCTAAATAAAAACTTTTACTTTTTTTTTAATTTTCTTTTAATATTTATTATAATTAAATAAAAATTGTTAAAAGAAATAAAAATGAATTTAAATTCATAAACTGAATATTATAAATATTTAAATATCTAAATATATAATTTATTCCAAGAAGTATGTAACACAAAGTTTAATACATACAATAACATTCCACTTTGCATTTATTTTCCTCTTGCCCATCAACAGACTTCATGGAAGGAGTCGCACTTGCTTTAAATGGAGCCTACAACGTCCATTCTTCATCTTGGCTTCCATTGCTAAAGAGAACATTTTTTCAAGAACCTCAAAATGTGCTGTTAGAAATGCATCACAGTGCATTTCATTTATCTTGTCCACAACTTCAGGTTCCATTCTGATTGAAAAATGTCACTGGGTAAGCTATAAAAAGTATCATAAAATTTGTAATGCAAGATAAAATCAAGGAAGATATACAAGATCTCATTGTTACATACATACAGAAATAATAGAGAAATAGATTTAACCAAAACAACAAACTAAGAATATTTTTTGGCCAATGATCAAGATAAATGCATAAGGCAAAAAGATGTACACTCCCTTTCTGAGTGCATTTCACAAAAATGCCTTTCATAATCATAGTTCTTCCGTTTTGCATATATCATTATGAAATTGCTAGATTTGAAATGCAGTGCCATATAATTTGAGGGAAGAAGAATATATGAAAGGCTGAGAGATAGATCTTCAATCAAGTTCATGTTTGATTGCATTGGAAAAGATAAAGATTATTTGATTCAATGAAGTTTATAAGATAAACCATTTCAAATCATATTTTTAGCTCATAAATAAATTCATAGAAATAAACGGATTCAAATGCTTTAAGAGGGAAATAAACCAATCCTTCAACATAAAATGACCACGTAATAAAGTTTCAAGAGGGAAATACAAATTGTGTAATGGATAAATCAACTATGCTGTACCTTGAACTAATGGTACAGCTGTGTCTATAGAGATCAATGTTTTTTAGACTTAGCAGTAGCTAAAACTATATCATGGAATCATTAGAAAGTAATTGGAAAAAGTATAGAGGACCAATCCAAGTTGATAGGTCTACAGTATGCACCTTTCAACTGCTACAATTCATCAATCAAGTTTGCTACAAAATTCAACAAGAAAATGGCTGCAAAATAGAGAAAACCCAGCTTAATGAACTAGTAACTCAAGTGATACTTAAAACAGAGACAAAAAGAGCATTAACAATTAAATCTATCTAAACACTAAATCAATTCATGAAAATAAATGCAATCAATTAAAAAATAATGAGTAATCATGTAAAACTAAGAATGGAAAGTATGAGAGAATCAAATCGAACACCTAGAAGGAGAGAGCATCATCATTCATCAAGTTCTCATTCATGGATCATTTCTACCTTATGGATTCAGCCTTAACTTTGAAGATTTAACTGTACTTGTACAGATAGAATTTGAGGCTAAATTTCTACTGGATTATAGCCTTATGAACTAGGAATTTAGAAAAAAAATTGAAGTAAATCAAGGTAGAAATCATTGAGTTTTGATCAAAAGACTGAAGATAGGTCAGGTGTACAGTTTGAAACTAGATTTGAGTTCAATGTGAATTTATAGAATTTGAAAAGGAAATCATGAGAATTTGTAAGTTTCATTATGAAAATCTTAAAGAACATTCAAAAAACGCATAGGAAACCTAAAATTGTAACAAGATTCAATTAAGAAAACTGAAATTAGAAACTGTTTGATTAGAGAGAAAATGAAAATGACAGCAGATCAGGTTCTGACAAGAAAAATGAAAGGTAAAATATCAATTTGTGCTCTAAGTTGCACCGGAAAGATATATGGAAAGCATAAACTTCTTATAAGACAGCTGATTAGTCATAAAATATGGCTTAAACAAGGTTCAAGAAAGTACGAACAAGCATCAACAAATATTTTATAGATATTCATGTGAAACCTTGGCCTTCCACCCCAAAACCCTTTAACTTCTAACAAATTATTAAAGGAAGTTCTTTTTGTACTAGAATACAAGATTCAAGTACATTCAATTATTATGAATTTATACTTTTATACAGTTCTCTTGATTTAAAAGATTTTCTTTCAAAACAATTACGTTTCTCATTTCCTCTCACATTCAGCCAAGCACATTCAACACATTAAATCGAACAGCAGGCAAAGATTTTTATATTAAACCAGTAGAGATAGAGCAGGAATCAAGGCAAAGCATTCACATGTAGATATGAGATAAGTGAGAGCAACCTTGTGCTGGAGTATTCAAAGCACTTTCCAGTGGCTGAAAAGACTAGAAGAGCTCTCTCAGCATCGCAAAGAGTGGAAAGCTCATGACCTTTCTTGGAAAGTCCTCATCTCCTCTTTGAGAAAGTCACCTACCTCGTTGCTACATTGTCAATATTCTTGATTTGAATTTTCTTTCTCACTATTCTCTTCCAAGAACAAAGCTGGGGAAAGAAAGAAAACTACAAAAAAGAAAGAGGGAGTTTAAATTTTGGGAAAAAATTTTAGGCGCGTCATTTTTTCACGATAACAGTGTTTACTTAAAAAAAATGTCACTATTTGAAAAAAGGATTATTGAAGGTGTTTTAGGCAAAAAAATACCTTTAATAATCCTCTTACATTTTTTAGAGAGGATTATTAAAGGTATTTTTTGTAAAAAAATACTTTCAATAATTCTCTTAAATTTTGATAAGGAGATTATTTAAGGCGTTTTTTGACAAAAAATGCCTTCAATAATCCCCTTTAATTTTTTTGAAGGGATTATTGAAGGTATTTTCTGCAAAAATGTCTTCAATAATCCCTTTAAATTTTAATGAGAAGATTATTGAGGGCATTTTTTTTTTATCAAAAACACCTTCAATAATCCCTTTTAATTTTTTGGAGGAGATTATTAATGGCTTTTTTTGGTCAAAAATGCCTTCAATAATCCCATCCAATTTTTTAGAGGGGATTATTGAAGGTATTTTTTGTAAAAAAAACACCTTTAATAATCTCTTTCATTTTTTATAAGGGATTATTAAAGGTGTTTTGTGCAAACAACGCCTTCAATAATCCCTTTGTAATTTTTTATGAGAGATTATTAAAGGTGTTTCAAGCAAAAAACGCCTTGAATAATCTGTTCATAAAAAATAGAGATGATTATTGAAAGTGTTTTTGGCAAAACAATGCCTTCAATAATTCTCCTAAAAAATTGTAGAGGATTATTGAAGGCATTTTTTATAAAAGAATACCTTCAATAAATCTTTTTGTCAATGAATCTGCCAAAAATGGAATAGCATTGTTAGTTAAAATATACGGTTGTTAATCATACGGTTGCAAGTTTGATCCTTCTTTTTAGGATTTTTAAAGTTTTTTAAAGGATTATTGAAGGCATTTTTGGCCAAAAATGCCATCAATAATCCCTTAAAAAATCCATAAAATGTTAAAAGGAAGGATCAAACCTACGACTTTATGATTAACAACTATATACTCTAACTAACAATGCTACTTTATTTTTAATAAATTTATTGACAAGGAGATTTATTGAAGGCGTTTTTGACTAAAAACGTCTTCAATAGTCTTCTACAACTTTTTAGGGAAATTATTGAATGCATTTTTTTACAAAAAACGCCTTCAATAATTGCTTTTATTTTTATGAGTAGATTATTCAAGGAATTTTTTTGCTTGAAATGCCTTCAATAATCTTTCATAAAAAATTGCAAGGGATTATTGAAGGCATTTTCTGCACAAAATGCCTTCAATAATCCCCTCATAAAAAATGAAAGGGATTATTGAAGGCAGTTTTTGACAAAAAATGCCTTCAATAATCCTCTACAATTTTTTAGAGAAATTATTGAAGGCATTTGCAATAGAAAACGCATTCAATAATTGCTTCTATTTTTTATGAGAGGATTATTTTTTTGCAAAAAAAGCCTTTAATAATCACTTCAATTTTTTAGAAAGGATTATTTAAGGCATTTCAGTTAATAAACGCCGCTAATTTTTGTCTTTAGTGGCGTTTATAGGTAACAACGTCGCTATTTGAATATTTAGTGACGTTTTGGTAATATACGCTTTGAGTTTTATAAAAACACGGAAGCTAGAGGCGTTTGTAAATAAAAGACCGCTACAAAACTGTTGCTAATACACCATTTTCTTGTAGTGCCAGAATGCACATTCAGATTCATTAACATGGGATAATAGACCAATGCGAAGTCCTGACAACTGATTAATTAAACATTCACAACTAGTTAAGGATAAATATATGCGGATTCAATCACGAACAATGACAACTGATTTATATATTGAAAGTCTGCATTCCATGTGTGATTTTTTGGGAAGTCTGCCCTGCATGTGTGAGGGATAACTTGCGCAAAGACTGGAAATATTATTTTGTTAATGAATAATCCAACGTTTGATCAGACACATAACACAACCCAATTTTATAATCTTTGTTTATATTGTTTAAAAAAGATCATCTTACGAGTGGCGATTCCGTGCTTGAAGGTGGAACGTTTGACAATCTGAAAAACAAAAAAATATTTTCAAACACTCTTTCCATCAATAAAATAAATAAATTTACTGATAATTTTTATATATATTATAATTTATAAGTGAACAATTCTAAAAAAAAAATTATGAATCTGCCACTAAATCTTATAGACAAGATTTATTCTCGATTCTCGACCACACTTAAATTAATGGTATTTGCAGATCTCGAAAGTTTAATTCTTTTTTATAACTCTCACATGGTAAGCAAGTTTTATTTATCAACAGATTTTATTATAATCTAATAATTATTAATATACACAGTATCTAGCTAGTTAATTTAGTGGATTTTTCCTCAATCCATAATCCAAAATTTTATTAACAAAACAATATATATGACATAAAGGAACTGACAGACGGTACAATTTTCTTAACATTATTTAGTCTTCATCTTCAGTTTTGTTGAAGCTACAACTAATCTCAATGGCCACTCAAGGTGACTGCAATGGCGTCCACATCTTGACAATCCCATTCCCTGCTGCTGGCCACATTCTTCCCCATATGGATCTGATCCACCAGTTTGTCCTTCGTGGCTTAACAGTCACAATCCTGGTCACACCCAAAAACCTTCACTATCTAAATCCTCTTCTATCTTTCCACTCGTCGTCCAACGTTCAAACCTTAGTTCTTCCTTTCCCTTCTCACTCTTCCATCCCTCCTGGAGTTGAAAATATGCAAGATGTTACTCTATCGTTTGCACCTGATTTCGTGACAGCCTTGAGTAAACTTTATGATCCTCTGGTTCAATGGTTTCACGCCCACCGATATCCTCCTGTTGCTATTCTGTCTGATATGTTACTTAGTTCTTGGGTTAATTCGCTTGCTTCTCATCTCAACATCCAAAATTTGAGTTTCAGTGTTCTCAATGCAAATTCAATGTTTCATTGGATGGTTAAGGCCCTGAAAGTTAGGGATGATGCTTTTTCCACAGGGGTAGATCTTGTAAGTGTAGGAAGTTGGGGTCTCATTTTCAACACCTTCACTGAGCTAGATGGGGCTAAAATGAATATGATCAAGGAGGAGTTTACTAAACATGATCGGCTGTGGGCGGTTGGGCCTTTGCTACCTATAAAAGCTAGCAGCATGGGTTCCAATGAGAGGGGCGGACCAAGCTCAATACAGCAAGATCAAGTCGTGGCATGGCTTGATTCTTGTCAAAGTGACAAAACAGTAGTCTACGTTGGATTCGGAACCCAGATTACCTTGACCAAACAGCAGATGGATGCGGTAGCCTCCGCATTGGAGGAGAGTGGGGTGCGTTTCATTTGGGCTGTCAAGGATCCAATGAAAGGGAAACAAAATGGTGACGACCAAAACGTGGTTCCCCGGGGGTTTGAAGAGCGTGTGGGAGGGAGGGGACTAGTGATCAAAGGGTGGACTCCTCAGCTGGCGATTCTGGAGCATCAAGCCGTTGGTTCGTACTTGACTCATTGCGGCTGGAATTCAGTACTTGAAGGACTCCTTGGTGGAGTGTTGTTGCTCGCCTGGCCGATGCAAGTTGACCACTTCGACAATACCAAGCTGTTGGTTGACGAATTGGGAGTGGCCATCCGAGTTTGCGAGGGTTTAGACAGTGTCCCTGATGCAACCAAACTGGCTCGGATCTTGTCTGACTCGGTGAGCATGGACAGGTTCAGGGAGGAGAGGAATAGAGCCATGCAGCTCAGGAAGACTGCATTGGCAGCCATCCAAAAGGGTGGGAGTTCAGATGAAGCATTGGAGTGCCTAGTAGAAGAATTGTGTAGCTTAAATATAAACGCAGAAGAAAAGGAAATAAAACCTAACAACAAATAAATAATTAGTGATATCCTTTGCTTGCTAATATCTTGTTTTAATTTCCATATATTGTTAGAATGTTGTTGGTGTTCGAAATTTACAGTAATCTAATGGTATTGTAACTTGCTCTTTATTTTAGTGATTTTTGGAGATTAAGTGAGGCTGCAGTTTAAGAATAGGAAAGAAAGATGATGGGATATGAACTTTCTGTTTGATACCAATTCTTAACCGGTTCGTTATCATTTTTAATATTATCAAGTTAATTTAATTATTGAAATGATCTTATTACTCATGACTTATAATCACTTTATTTGATTAATAATCATCAATTTTTAAGAATTAAAAATAACTACGTTTAATATTATTTAAAATTGCTCAAACAATCATATATATTATAATAGTTAAATAAATTAATAATTTTAATATTTTTTAAAATAATAATTTATAAAATATTAGTAATTAAATATTAAATTAATAAATATATTTATGGATAGATAAATTAATGTTTATAATATAAATTATGTAAAAAATATTTGAATTAAAAAATAAAACTAACCTATTAAAATCATAACAAAAGAAAAACTAAAATATTATATTATATAAACTATTAAAATAAAAGTTACAAAAAACACAACTTATTTTTGGACTTGTTATAATGAATATTAATTTGAAAATATAAAAAAATATTATAATATAAAGCAATTACAAATACAATTTTGAGAAGAAGAACATTTTTAATTTAGATATTAAATTAATTTTAAATATCACTTTATTTTAGTAATAAAAAATTTTCATCATTTTATATAAGAATTATATCACTCTCCAAGTTTAATCATTCTTGGTGGTCCAAAATTATTGCCATGTAAGATCATTAAGTGCTTACTAAACACCATATTCTAATTAACATGTGTAAATCACCATATTTTTAGGATTATCATTCTTTACCAAACATCACTCAACGATAATTATATAAAGGCATACTAAAAAGCCTATAAACTATTTCACCTTTTTAAAAAGTCCTTATATTTTTATTAGAGTAAAATTAGTTTTTATTCTTTAATTTATATCCAAATGAACTCTTATTTCAAATAAAAAATTTATTTATATTAAGAGTTTATTTAGGTATAAATTAAGAATTAAAATCTTATTCAAATACAAATTAAAAGTTAAAAGTTTATTTGAATACAAAGATCAAGGGCTTATTGAAGATATGATAAAAATATAAAATTTTACTCATATAAAATAATAAAATTTATTAATATTCAAATTAAAATTTTATATTTATTGAATGTCATTATTTAAAAATAATTAAATGAATTAATTAAATTAAATTTTGAATTCATAAATTTAAAAACTTTAATTTGCACATAATTATTTGAAAACTAAGGATGATAAATAAATAAATATCTTACACTATTTGATCCAATTATTTCATATTCAAATATTTATAAATAGATATTTAAATCTTTTAATGGATAATATTAGATATTTCAATTTATTATGATTTATATATGTAAAATATGTAAAATTTTATACATGTGAAAAAGTTTAAACCTTAGCAAACAACAAATTTTTTGGTTATTAATAAAGAGTGTGAAGTGGCAAAATAATAAAAAGTAATTTTAAATTTTAAATTTAATTATTATTTATTTTTATTTTTATAAAATAATAAAGTAAATATATATTTTAATATATATGCATATGTCTCGTCAGGCTTTTAAGAGTACGGAGAAAGGAAGAACTGGCCGAGTGTAATTGATCTCAAGTTGAATAAAAATAAAAGGTTTTTGAGAATACAAATATGAGGTCGGTTTTGACTTTTGATGAAATGTGAATTTGAAAATTAAATTTATTATTAGAATATGAGTTTTACATTTTGACAAAAAAAAAAGTAAATAGATATTCTAAGATATCGGATATTTAACAATAATGTTTATTTAATTGAATACAAATATAAATAATAATATTAAATTTAAATGAATTTAGACACTATAAAAATTAAATGGATTCATTCATATCCAAATATCTCTAAATAGCGAATATTCGCTCTATTATCATTTTTATTTAAAATGAGGTACGGCTTGCAAGATTAACCTTTTTATTTACTGCATGGATTTTTGGTATTGAAAACGATAAGAATGGAAGAAAAACAAATGCAAATTACAACAATATTCAAAAGTCTCCCCAAAGAAAATGTTAAAAAAATAAATAAGAAAATATAATTAATAAAATTGAATTTTAACTTTGAAGCATGAAAATTATTTTTTAAAGATAATTATATATTTAGGATACAACAAAATCTCAAAATATTTCAAGCAAAAGTAATGAAAATAATTATATTAAAAAATCTATTTATAATAAATGAATAGATATAATTTTAAATAATTATGACTATTTGTATAATCATGACTTATGTACATAATTATCTATTTATGATCATTTGTAATTACGGTTCTTTATTGTAGCCAGAAAGAGTCTTGGCCCCTCCAAAATTTTTAAAAATCTTTAGCATGTATATATTAATATTAAATAAATTTAGTTGATTTTTTAAATTAATACTATTAATTTATATTTTTGTGATTTTAAATTTTAAATTTATGGATTATTGCAATTGAAAAAGAATTAAAATTAGTATGTTATGTGTATATTTATTGTATTCATAAATTATTATTTATAAATTCTTAAAATCAAGCTAAAGCTTTGTTACAAGCTTTAAATCACAGTTATGCAAAGTTAATAAAAATCAAATTAATTTTGTAGCTTTCTCAGCAAGACTCCATATTTTCAACTAAGTATTAAATATGTATTTTCCTTTTCCTTCTAGCTTATTACAATATATCTCAACATATTATTTTATTTTAATTTTACTCTAGATCTTTGTTTCATGCTTTCCTAAAATATGTTTTCAATAACTAAAAAAAAAAAAAAGACTGGTACCATTTTTAGAAGGTTAAGATAAAAATCATAACTTCTAGTCTCAAAGTTTCAACTTCGTTCTTTTACAATTATATTAATTTTTTTGTTTTGATAAAAATATATTGTTTAATGATTAATTTATTTATATTCCTTTATTTCAATTTTAAATCTCTAAAAAATTAAAAATTCTAATAATTCATTGAAAGATGGAGTAATTAGTAATTCTACAATTAACTTAAAACTCTTGTTATCCTTAAAAGTTTAATGCTATCATACTAATATTTTTATGTTATAATTTTATAAATTGGTTACCTTTTACTAATATATTATTTGCATATTATGTGTGTATGTATGCATGTATATAATATTATTAATTGTCCCCTTCAAGTTTATAATCAAGATCTATCATTAATCATTTATAATATAATAATTACTTTTGTTCAAACATAATTGTTTACAATGTGAATAAAATTAATATAAAAATTAAGTCTATTCACCGATAATTAAGTCTTTCTATCTAATGTGGGATGCACCATATTCCAAACTACCAACAATCCTCTACTATTTTGAAATATTGGAGCTTAATCTTTAATCTTTCACATAAATAAATATTACCAATAAAAAATGGATCTTTCGATTTAAACTGTCAATTAGTGTATATACCTTAAAATTCTAACGAAATTAATGGTGTCTGCAAATTAAACCTCAACTCTTAGTGTTAAAATTAAAGATGTAACACATATAATACTTACTTAATCTTTTGTCAAAGGTTTATAACCGCTTTGACATTATTATGGCATTTCCATGTGATTTTCATATTTATAAACATTTATAAAAGAGACCCTAATTTTTCTTATTAAAGCAGTACCACTTCTGTGTTTGTTTAGATAAAGTATCCATGACGTTTCTAGTGCTTTAACATGCACATTATAATAACTTGTTTTTAACCATTAAACTATGAAATTAGAGGTTATTAATTCATGAATTAGATTCCCATTATTGATGTCTAATAGTAAGGGTTTAAACACTTCTACTTATAGTACAACTTGTAGTAAAGGTTTACCCCAAATTGGAACTCAATTTTCTTTTATTAGTTAGACATTTAAACAATAATCTCCATTAAAAGTATAAAAAACCCGTCCTTCTCACACAATCTATCACACTAATTTCTAAAATTTGAATGAATTTTAGTAGTATTTAATAGACGCGTAATAATAACTTGTTTTTACCCATTAAATTTTATAATTAGAAATTACTAATTCAAAGTTAAATTCCCGTCATTGATGTCTAATAGTAAAGGTTTGAACCTTTTCTACTTGTAGTACTACTAACCAAATATCTTGGAATTCAAATTTTTTTTATAGTAATTACCTAAAATTGAGATTGAATCCCCAATACAATGACTTCATAGGCTAATATGTCCAAACTTTTCATTTTACATGTCATTTATATGCTATAAACATTGTTGTCTCATCATTTTAAGAAATAGTTAATATTGATCGTAACCACAACTCTATATTCATAAAATTTACCAATTTTATTTCCATACTTTTATACATTTTTAAAACAATTATATTTCTAATACAATTGGATAAACTAAATGAATAAACCAAGTCATTTTAGTCCTTTTAAAATATTTAAAGACTTTTTTATTATTTTACTTTAATAAGTTGTACTAAACTTATTAGCTTATATGTTTCACTCATAGTAAATCTTATAATACTATGGTGGTAAAATTTTTTTTCTTTTTATTCTTAAAATCTATAAGAAACTATCAACCCCATCATATGTAAATATACATTCTTTTATTAAAGAATGTTCCATCCAATTATCAGGATATCATATATTTAATCAATTTGCCATTTCATTTATCTTTTTACTATTTGGTAGTTTATTTTTTTTTTATAATAAAAGACCTTTAAATTCACTCTTAATGAAAGACAACTAGTAAATATTCTACGTCTTAATATTTCTTTTTAATAAAACTTCCAAAACTTTTATTTGAATTTAATATGAGGGTACACATCATTAAGTATGATGCTGTAACGCCTCAATCCCATATCGAGATAATCTAAAATTCCATTGTAGAGGCTTAAACCCAA